AAGGAGAGAGAAGATATCTGCGGGCGGCTATCGTCGTGTAAACCATACAGCGGTTGAGCCCGTGACCACTCCTAACTCTAAATTGAGCTGCTTTACGAAGTTCAACACAGCTGAACTTTTAGAGCAGAAATGGAGGACTCGAAGAGAACGAAACTGATGACTCAGTACGAATCCACAACACGTCTCTGTCTGACATAAATGCACACTTCAAGGCCAAGAAACCTCCGAAAAGGAGGCGGCGAAAACCTAAAACCGGGTTGTAGAGCCAAGAAACAAGCTGTGAAAACAAAATGACGTATGAGGAGTCACGAAGTAAATATGTAGCAGGAATAAACAAGAATGTTGCAGGCGACAGGTGCTGTCATCTGGTGGCCATAGTTGTATCTTTTTTTTTTTACAATGTATCCACAGATTATATCTCGGGAACAACCGATGATAACGAAATGTCTTAATAATTCGTATGAAATGTGTATATTGGATTATTTTCAAAGGTTTTCAATTGTGTACGACGCACTTCTTCCACAAGCGATTCCCAGCTCATTTGTTTCCACAGTAACGAAAGGCGATTGTTGACGTCAATAAATACCAATAAAATATAACAATGTTGGCCAAAACTATGACGTACCAATTATTGTTTCCTCAGTAAAAAAGTTGACAGTGGAACCACGGTTCCGGAGAATTTGACGTAAATACGTCTATACGGAAAGGAAGGTTATATATTGGCTTTATTCTAAATATTTCCTTTATACATGCTTTACAATTGAGTAAAGTTTGATGAAGACTTTGCTTATTTAATTTGAATTAGTTACGCTTAAGATGGGTCTGTGGTAGATGAATGTAATGTAAAGTAACGTTTCCTAGGTAACAATAATGCCGAGTAAACAGATGACGTTTCCTAGGTAACATAACAATGAAGTTACACTTTTTCGTTTCCCTTTTTGCCGAATGACCCTTCCTTATAGACGTATTTACGTCAAAAAACATGGAGTATTTTACACTTTGTTGAGGCAATTCTACTGCATATATAAAACAAATTCACAACTGGCAAAGAAGCTTTAACAAAGTTGATGTATCAAGAAATGTAAAGGTTTCGAATTATTTTTCTCAATATGTGCCCCTTTTAATAACCATCTGAAGCCGAAGATCGTCTAAATATTATCTATGAATTCAGCGTACCGCAAGGAAAACACGACACTCAATCGGTTAATGCCGTTTAAGAAAATGATCGCTGTTTACCCTGAGAATCATACGAAACCCACAAATACACAATGAAGAGTTATTAATCGTGAAAGCAGGTGGTACACATACTTACCACCAGACTCTTAAGGGCTCTAACTGTTTCATCAAGATTTTCGGCTACTAAACATGCCTTGTTTAAAGCATTCGAATTTCCAGTTGTTTACTGGAATATTCAATCGCAATTTATTTGAAATTGTGTTAGAAAGAAAGAAACTAGATTCATTTTCTTGCAAGTGTTCATAAGTATTAACAAACACACCTAAATATGTTTATAACAATAACAATAAAATAAGAAAAAGTCTTTACCTATCTCTTCGTTCGTGGGAAGGGAACTAGATGTCAATAAACAATCGAATTAACAACAAACTTCGGAGAGTGTAAGGCACTATTCTTCAATAGCACAAAAGTATTATGTCTTCTACAAGCGATTCACAGCTCAGTTCTTTTCAGAGCTGATTGTTGACGGAAAGACAACAATGTCAACGAAAAGTATGACATAACAATTTTAATTGTTATGCCAATATTGTTACAGGTGTGTTTTATAAATTCCAAAACATTTTCGTTGTACTAGAGCAGGGCGCTCCTTTCGGAGCAACCAACCTTAGTTAGTCCCAAAGGGGACTTAGTTTAGTGTCTCATTCAAGTGTTTTAACCCCTGAGTAAGAAACTAAACTAACCCCCCCGAAGGGGGTTGGTTGCGTTTAAACATCTTGAGTAAGACAACTACACTAACCCCCGTGTATAAACAAATATAAGGTGATATAGTTGATGACGTCATTTTTTGACGACAACGATGGCTAATCCTTTCGGAGCGCTTCTTGTAATCTGATATTTTACTTCTTTACGTCGCTGTTCAGAGGCCAACAGTTCTGGTTCAGTCAACTTTCTACGTCCAGCCCCACCCCTGCAAATCTTCGTCTTAAAATCGATCATAAAGTCAGTCTTCATAATAGTTTTCGTAATCGTAATATATCGAATGAGTATCAGTTTACCTTATAGGAGTTGTTAGGGTTGGTACTCCAAATAATTGATAACCTCTTCTTTCACTTTTCTAATGTTTTAGGCCAACTGTCAGTCAATATTAAAGAATGCTAAGTGCTCCTTCTGGAGCAGTGATAATGCGACTGGCTTGATATTTTTTTAATTTTTTGTTGTGAAGCGTTATTTGTTTACTCGGCATTGTTGTGTTCCACAACAATGCCGTGTAAACAAATATCTGCTGACATTGTTGACGACGTCATTTTTTGACGACAAATTGGTTGACAACAACGAGGAATCACAAATTTTTATAGTAGAAGATTGTTAGACACGCAGGTGACCATTGTCGTTCGATATTTACATTGTTGGTAGTTGAAAATAATACAAAGAGATTTTTTTTCGTATCTATGGTCAGCTTTGACGGTCGTGACCCCACGGTGGTTTCGCCTTGCCTTCCGTGGCCAGTCTTTATACATCAGACTGGAGGAGAAAGGACGCGGACAAACATCCATGCCTTGAGTGGGACTCGAACCCACGGTCCCAGTGTAACTGCATTCTAGGAACGCTTGCTACCTCGAGGTCCAAAACCCATCCTCCCATCTTCTGCCTAAGAACTCGATGATTCATGCTTTCGAAACTGCAATTCTACCGTGACTTGCCTGCTTTCACGGCGTCAGCTGATTGTGTTGTATTGAACTATTCTGAAAACTAGGAAGTCGATAATAATTACCCGCCTGCCGTTTCAAAACATACTGGATTGTCCATTGTAATTATTACTGATTAAACTTGAGAGGGGAGTTTAAAACAACCGATAACGAAAGCAGTGTCGTCAGGACAATATCTGCTGATAACGTCATCACCATGTCTCTGTCTGCACAATGACAGCGAGAGAAATCAGTGGGCAGACATCCCACAGTATCCACGTGATTTTGGTACTGATATAAAACAGACAAATCTATTGTCAGAAAATTACCATGATCAACACCACAGGAACCAGTGTCGCAAATTAGGTTATCAAAGAAAACGGACATTTCACCTAAGGTTGCCAGCGCTAAATCCTGCCATTAGGCACGATCCTGAATCAGTCCATCATCAGCCCATTTTTTAAACATCCATATTAAAAATCTCTTCCCGTCTACCGAGTAGAAAAACAACAGATTTCTGAAACAAAATTCTAGTTTTTTTCTGACTGAGTTATAAGAAAAGCCTGTCCGGTATCCTCCAGAATTCTTGTGAGGAAACAAGTAACTCACCGTTACGGTGGCAGTCAAATTATCCAGTTCCAATTGCCTACAAATGTCACAAAGAGGCCCAGTTTCTGCACAGCCTCCTCACTTCCTATGCACCAATAAGACCGTCCCCGCTCCCAGAACGCTTCAAACACGTGCGTCTATATTCTGCGTACTGACTTTTCTCTTAGGTGTCTACGTATATTAACTGTAATCTTACGACACTGAATTAAGCACGTGAGTCTGATAGCAACATTATCAGGGCCGACAACTTCACCCAACGTAATATTCATAGGCCACGTTCAAAACTCATTAATCACTGTGTAACAAAAACAGTGCTGTTCATTTCTTTGCTCGTCTGTGTCCATGGCAAATACAACAAAGACATCAATTCTTCACGGTTCAGTATTAACATATTCAACTGGGCAGTGATTCTCTTAACACTGACTGATGCGTTCAAACTATGGTCCGGCTGTTTCATGCAAATGGTGAAACAGGTAACACCCACTTCCTTCCAAATCCTTATCCACCAAAAGTGCATGACCATTTTAAAAATTTATTTTGCGTAATATAACCTCCGAGAGTTGAAAGAGCACAAAACAAAGTACGAAACACTTTATATTACATAAAAGTATCTGAAGTGCTTTTACATTATTGTGGTATTCTGGTTTGCGGTATCACTTCATTCTGTACATTGTTACCAGTGTTTTCAAAGGGCCTACTGCATCAATTTTTCAGGTTATAATTGCATCATAACCCAGAAGAGCATAACAAAAACAAGGTCAGATAGTTTGCATTTGATCAGCATTTGCTGTACTTGAAACATCAAGATAGTTGGAAAGCTTGTCAAGCGACTTGAATGGAATATTTTGTTGTTACATGAAGACAAAGAAAGAAGACCAGTAGATAAGATAAACACATTACTATTGGGTATTGTCATATGTGATAAAGCACTAACTTTGAGCAGTGACACTCATTTTAGAGCTGAGATAAAGGATGCTAGCCACTCACCTCCACCAGGCTCTACATGTATGCCCTCACACAAACTGATCCAGATTTTTGCAAATTGTATTGGGTCTACCTGGCCACTATTTGAGTACCATAGCATATAGACATACGGGGAATATAGAAATATAACCCAATACAGTGTCAAAACCATGACTCAATGGTCTGACTGCATTTACCCAGTGTGTAAGAGGCAGATCTTGGCATGGTCCTGAATAAGACCTGGACTGATGCAAACTGATGGACCTCTAAACCAAGCTGTTACTTCCCTGCCACTATCTGTAGGATGTAGACTGCATCTGTTTATTTACAATTCGTTACAACCCTGACATGTCCAAAACTAGGTAATGTGTTCTGAGAAAATCTGGTGCTTGGGAGGGCGGGATTTCTGCCGAAACCTCTCGGGTGAGTTTCGCGTCAATGCAACTTTTCAAGAGGTTCAAATCAAACTTTATCATATTTTCATGCATTCAGCGTACAATACAAAATAAAAACATTGGTACAAGATGCAGACACTTAACTAACAGTCAATGGACAAATTCCTGGCTTTTGGGTTATCAACTTCAAGAAGCATGAGGCAAGGGAAATTAAAGAACAAAACAAGGGAATAAAGACAGGCCACGCTGAGTCCTTAGACAGCAGTGTTGAACCGAGTTTGGTCCGTTGTGGGGCAGCTCAATCAGTCGGGCGACTTGCAGAGCCGAAGTCTGATTAAATTCAGGCAAAGCAATTATTATCTTGCCCAACAGTGCTCACTTTAAACACAGTCAGTATGTGAACTGAGATGGCGTTTGTAAATGTCAGAAATGTTCTACATCTACTTCAATACTGTACACAGTAATTTCCCTTATAAGTATTTTCTTGTATTACTGCGTTATCAGATTAAAAGAATAGAACCACATTCATGTTAACAGTGAGATCCAAGAAGTTACCTACATATTCACCGAAGAAAACTTGAAATAAAAATTCAGCAATTTGTATCACTGCAGCTAGCAGAAATCAGATATCACAGCATGTAAAATAATGAAAAGAAAAAACATGGCAGACAGAAATTAGCGCCATCTGGTAAAGACAAGAATCAATACTTGATGACTGATCTGTGTAAACAGAAAAATGATTCCCAGTTCTTGCAGAATGAAAAAGGACGTTACTGCATTAAAAAATGACAAAGACCATGAACAAAGAAGAATGTTAAAAATGGAAAGAAATTATGTTGTAACATGGAGGATGAAGTATGCAGGGAGTGGGTTCAGGAATTGCTGCTATCGGCTCTCCCCTCACAAACCATAAGAGTCACAAAATATGAACTGCTTCAAACTGTTCGGACTCAATATGAACCATACAAGTATGTTATGAGTCATGAGACGACAACGCCGTCTCTCTATGAAACGTCTTCTAAATGGAATCTACTTCCTGCGGCAAGTAGAAGACAACACCGCAAGTATTGCCGAAAAGCAAAACATTTAGGTACAAGTGACTGGAAATAAAACCAAGGAAGTTTAGCAAAATGGAAATTCCCGTGTGAAGTAAATAGAAGCCGACTACATGACAAGGGATCACATGCCAGAAGGGGAAACAAGATGATTGTGATGAAGTTCGGCGGGGGAAGAAATCAAACCCCATTAGTCATGGAGACGTGCACACTTTTAGTTTAGCATTGTTACAAAAATATAGAAATCACAGTTACAGTAATACAATCACCTTCTGTCACCACCACAGCTAAGAATTTTCCTTCTCGTCCTTATGGCTCAGCTGTGGCACCAGTACACAGCATCTCCTTGCTCTCTGCACATCCTGAAGGCGAGGCGATAAAAAGTGTGCGCCACAAGAGTCATGAGACAGAATTACAAATTTCACCAACAAAAGTTTCACTCAGCGAGCAACTACAGGAACAAGGCCATAAGTTGACAATAACTGAACAGAACTAGGATGACTTTACTTTATGGGAGTGCGGCAACAGATGCATCGATCAATGTGCCGTTAAATGCCCGCCAGTCAACGGCGCTTTGCAGTGAACGCATGTGCGTACTAAACTTGTCCTGCCTGAGTCACACTGTTCATTTACGAGTAAACAACATCCTATCAGACAGAGATGCGCTCTCGTGATTGTGCAACCGAGACGTATGTCCTCAGTACGACCACAAAGGCAAATAATTGCTACTCTGTAACATCAGCCATTGTAAGGTACTTACAGGTAAACGCACAAAACTCAAATACCTTGTTACATAAAGCACGCTGTTGATGCTCTGTCATAATGTGCATAATAAAACAGCTGAGGTGCAAAGTAATGATGTAAATTTGATCTGACTGTCCCCTCTCTTTAGAGTCAGTAGGGATGGGGGCAATTACAGCATTCTGGCTTCAGATTGGGGTCTCACAATTTTTTAATTTGTCTGTTCTTGCCATCTTTATTTCTACGGTCGAACCACTACCCGGATAGGAGAACGTTCCTTCTAATAATCATGACTTACTAATACGCAACAAATCACTGGACTGAGAAGGGAAAGTTCCTACCAACTGCTGACACAGAGTATGACTAAATTATTACAAAGGTAGACCCGTTAACAAACAAAAATGAAAATTAACCTTATTTAAGATGAGGAGCCCTGGCATTGGAAATTACAGAACTAGGCCGAGTATTGTAGCAGTACAAACTAGCTGCAACGAGATCAATGGGTTGGCAAAACTGATGCAATCCTGAAACAAAACAGAGTGGTACTGTGGTATTACTGTTCCAGGATATGAACACGGCATTACATGGTAGACTCCGACATAAAACTTGCTTCTTGGGCAGAATCTGCATGTTCAATACTATAACCAAAAATGCACATCATCACTGGAGTCTGTCATGAAACAGCTCGTGTGTTCATATCCTTGCAAGATACTTTTAATGGACATCCAAACAAAGTCAAATTCTGCAACATTCAGTTTCTGGCAGGTTTCCCCACCAACAATCTGCATGTACAAACCGGAAAGTTTGCTATTATGCAATGGCATGGACTTCCCCTTAGATACAAATACCTTCACATTGTGCTTTTTTTAAAAAACTTTTCTTAATGCACTCAATCACAAATCACAGCTTACCCATACAAAGGGCTGAGCTTGTTCATGATTTTCCTCAATCCCTCCACGTAATGCAGGAATATTATTTCAAAACAGACCACAACCACATCATTAAAGATCCTTTCCGATACATCCCACAATATGACGCATAATTTAAGCAGTTTTTTTTAGATTACTTTCCACTTTCTTATGGAAAAAATAGGTTTATGAGTTCAACTTATAGTCTGTGTGTGTGTCTCATCTCACTCTCAGCTTGTAAAACAGTTTTCATGAAATTTGGTATGACCATCCCAACCCAGTACATTTCAACACGCTACACTAAAATTGTTGGACACACTGGTAGCGACAGTAATGCCACTTAACACAGCGTCCTGAATCAACATATGGTAATAGATTTTTTTTTAAAGTCTCAACTACAAACACGGCCAAGGCGTAAAACTCTGAACTTACATTAAAAAAACTGAATGCAGGCAGAATCTGAAACTTATTTACAAATGTTCTAATTTGAACAGAATCTGCGCACCGTGAGCCCAGGATGCTGTACTTCGCAGCTCACCTCATGACAGGAAGGTTCGCACAGTGGCCTTGATGAGTTGCCGGCACACCGGACAGTCATGCAGGCTGGGTGCGCAGTTCACGCAGGTCACCAGGTGTCCACATGGCAGGAACACCACCCCCACTTCCTCATCCATACAGATTTTGCACAACCGAGCCTCTTTGAGCCGCCGCACCTCCTCCTCAAGTGACGGTGGCACACCATCATCTGCTGATCAATCAGTCGTGCATCGTAACAGACGTTAATACAGACACGTGGTTAGCGCTCGAGAATCATTTCACTCACCTTTGGCTTTGCTGCTGTCATTACCTGCTGAGAGCAGGTGTGGCATGCTCTTGGTGTTGGACTGATCTGTGAGCAGCTTCGTTCTGTCCGGTTTCTCCTCTCGCTGGTCCGACAACATGGGCATCGAGCGGGAAACTTTCAGCGGGGAACTGCTGCAGATGAAATTGCATGTCAGAAAAACAAGCACACTTAAGAATTTCTCTTGCACGCGACTAACACGACAAATCCTCACCTCTGCTGGTCATCCTCTCCTTCGCTCTCCCTGCTGGCAATGTTAACTGAACTATTACTACTACTGTTGCTACTTGCTGCAGAAACTGTCTCCTCATTCATCTGGATATCCAACACGGCCGCGATGAGTGCGTCAGACGTCGTGAACGGCATGCCCGTCTGCTCCATTTTATGACGGAGAGCCAGCTTTATTCGCGGTGCATCTAATCCTACCTGCAGAGCTGCCTGGGGACACAAATAAGTGGCCCAGTGTTCAGACCCCTAACCCATCTCTCTCAGCAAGGTACAAAATATGGTAGCTCAATGTAAATAAGTGGCCCAGTGTTCAGACCCCTAAACCATCTCTCTCAGCAAGGTAAAAAATATGGTAGCTCAATGTAACAAGAGATCCTTCATTCAATTCTCACTGTAGCAACCAAAGATCGTACTTCAAACACTCCGGAGGTCAATGCTCAGTTTGTCAAGATGGAAAACTGAAAATGTTTAACAAACATTTAAGGCAATTATGTACAGATGGCAGAGTGGAGAAAATTAATTACCAAATACTGTTATGAATTAAGACTGCTCAAAAGGGACATTTACTGGCAAACAAGAGAACTACACAAAATTTTGGATGGTAAACACCATGGAATGTTTCCACACTGGAGATAGGAGTGTTAAGTCACTGATAATATTAAAATTAATTTTATGGCTGCAGAGTGTGATGATATGAGCTGAATGAACATGGGTTTTATTATCATGAGTGACTGAATTACTACCAACTGGCACTGAGTGCATGTCAAACTCACAAGAGCCGGAGCCATACTCATGAGACCCTGGAGCTCCTCCTCTGTGACACTGCGCACCCTGTGACGTACATCCACAGCCTGTGTCTTGTGGCTCTCTTCTCCCTGCACAGGACATCACACATTCTGAGTTCTCAGAGCAACACAGCCACAAATTGTGTGAAAAGGGACACCTGTCAGTAATTACCAAAAAAGAGTCATCTTAAATTTAAAGTTTAGTCAAAGTTTGCAAGTTTTATAAATTAATCACATAAACACTACAATTTAATTTTTCAGCAGTGTTTATTTGACTAGTGACCTTCATTCATTGTTTAGAAAGTTTTTAAATATCTCTTTTTAAGCTAAAACAACAAACCTGCACTTATTTCTGATGATTTAACTGGATTAAAATTTATGCTACATTTTATAACAGAGAATTCTATTGTTCACTGTAGCCTTATGTTTCCCAGCTTTTCTTCTGCTGTCGGGGATCAAACTCTGATCGCCCAGCACGTAGCCAGTCACTATACTGAATGAGCTACCTCGCTCATCATCAAGCATTGGAAAACTTGGGTGATTTTTGTACACTTAATAAAGAATGACTTCAACATGAGAAGGTAAAATGTTGTTACTGTGAAGTTCAAGGACCTTCTGTTTTCTCCTGTTATCAAGCAGAAAGTAACTTCTGTGTGGCAATGAAAGGCATTTCAGTTCACACTAACCTTACCACACAAGGAAGCTGCAAGTGACATACTCACACAGACTGGAAGCACTGGTGGGTGCTGGATGAGGGCCTGCTGCACAAACTCATCCCCTTTGACAAGAAGCACGAATCCACACTGCGAGAACCACCTGGCATGTTCAGTCCAGGGATCATCCTCGGGGTCCCAGTGCCGAAGCCCACCATCACAATGGAAGCATCGCACTTGGTCACTCTGACCTGTGACACAGAAAGTACCCTCGCTCGTGACTCTCGTGCCATGCCATATTCCAGGGAGTCCCAAACGCAAGTGAACTTCATTATGGCACACGTGGCGAGCCTTAGACTTACCAACAGAGTAGAATCCAGCCTGAGCAAGTTGTTGAGGCGTCTGGTGCACGGTGGGCGACCAGTTTATAAACGTTCGTAACCGAGACTCTACTGTTGCGTACTTGGGATGCCTTGGGCCACGATGTGTCTGTATGCCCAGCTCGGTGAAGTCATGTTGCTTGCTCACTGTACCCCCCGACACGACAATCCTCTCTGGAGCCGAGAAGGGCCGAAATTCTCTGAGAGCAAAGCCGTCACGGGCATTCTGATACTGCTGCACGCTATCATTAGACTGCCCCAGGGGAATGTTGCCAACAGGGACATTAAAGTGCAGAGGACATGAGGGGAAGTGGCGCCGATGCTCTTTGCTGGGATCGTCGCCTGCCTCCCAGTGTCCCACCACACCTGAGCAGAATGCACACTGTACCTGTGTAACAGACACAATAATTTACTGACTGCAGAGGCTGTAATCTGAGGCTGGTCCATAATCAAATGTGTGGAGCCCGGACACAGTTAAGATATAACACGTAGTGACGCTACTGAAACTGCGAGTGAACCACACAACAGAATGTGATTATGCACTCTGCATATGTAGTACACAAGGAGAAAAACAAAAATGAATAGTTTCATATGGAAAACCTCTTCAGAGCCTACTCTGAAAAATAATAAACAAATCAGTGTATTAAATGCCTGGAATTATACCCATCCAGCAAGAACAATGGCTAGATAAGCAGTACAATGAAGGTTAAAAAGTATTTTAGGTAAATTACTTGTGAACTGGATTTAACTAGCTCAGGACAATTGTTCACAAACACCAGTGTCATGCTACCAACCCTGTCCCCCTGCTGGAGGTAGTAGAAGCCAGCTCTGGCAAGTCGTTCTGGTGCCACTATGAAAGGAATAGGCCAGGAGCGGAATGACTCTAAGCGGGCGGCCTCACTGCGGTACGTTGTCCCTTGGTCCCACGTTCCAGTGTCCCCCACAGTCGAGCTTGAGGGCCCCGCTCCATCTGGCTGACTGCTCCTCCCCGGAGGCGCGGGTGAGTCACCTGGGATCGTTGGCACGTTGCCTGACTGAATGGGATTCTTCACAAAGGGGCACTGAGGGTCCAGGGCTCTATGCCGGGCCATCACCTGGTCACCATAGTTCCACTCCGAGATCTTTCCTCCACAGCAAAAGCACTGAACCTCTAGGCCCCGGCCCGTAGAGAAGAAGCCTGCCTTCGCAATGCGCTGGGGTTCCACCTCAGCATTGGCAGGCCAGCCCTCAAATGTCCGCAGTCGGTTATTTTCTACGTTCATGATCACTCCATGTTTCGTGAAGTGGCTGCCGACCAGATTTGTTAACCTAACTTTCAGACCGAATTACAGCGACCTCACACTAATTTCGGCTTGATTCAATTTGTACCCAAGCTGCCTTAACGAATAAAGTCAGTCTAAATAAACGCCACAGTCAGCAGGAGTATTTCTCTCCACTTTCGAATGACGAAATCCAACTTCTAGCTTGCTCGACAGTAGGGTTTGTTCAGCACTGACTAGGGATCCCAGTAATACGACAGTCAAAATCACACGAAATTTATCGACTATTACGATCGACTTCTAGGGCGATAAATTTGAATAACCAAACGAAAGCAAGTTGTGACCTACATGTATGGACGTAAAACATTATAGTACGAAATTAAATGCACACAAAGTGGCATCGGATTTGAAACCTTTGCTATATCCACGTCCTTCTTATCTATTTATTTCCCAGTGGCAGCACTTTGGTGTTCACTGCCTCAGATCATGCTGGTAATATGTTTGTTTTACATAGTATATGCAATTTCCTTCCACCCACAAACTAGTTATGCAAGTAAAGTGCATAGTTCAGTCTTCGCTGTGGTACTTCCATATCATTTCTGGTAGCATGTAAATGTTCTGCAATTCATCTGTAACTCTGCTGTAGATGCATTGAATACAGCTTCTATTATGACTCAGGCCTAACCATGACAAAGATTCATAAACTTCTGGGGCTTCACATCCATGTCTTATCTTTCAAACTGTGCTTTGCTTGTTATATTGCATGTTCACAATTTACACTAAATATACATCTATTGTGCATTGAGTAATCTGCACGCGCACACACACACACATATATATATATATATAGCAGTTCATGAGTTTGAGAAGCTGAAAGAGCAGTTATTTAATGTATCTGGAGTAATAACAGGACCTCAGTCACCTGATGATCAGCAAGTGAGTCCTGTATAATGATAAACCAGTCCTCAAATGTACCTCTCAATGGGCAGTGGTGTATGTACAACTGTAATGTTTATGAAATCAAAAAAGTTCAAGCATCTGGAAACCTTACCTTGTGCTTGGCAACCACTGGTTTTCCAAATGAAGGATGTGAACCCTTGCAGGAATATGTTTAGAAGACACACATTATATTATAAGAGTGGGCAAAGTAAACACTATACAGGTAAACCTCGATTTGTTCCGCTTCAATTTGCGCCAATTCAGAATAATGCTGCTTTTGAAACCAGCAAGTCAAAAAGTGAAAGAAAAAAA